CTTAATTTACGTCAATGGTGGGGATGCACCAATTTGTTTTGTAACACCCACTTATTTAAGAGTCGCACTGACGCAATATTTCACTACATAATATTTGGCAACATTGCTTTATTGGTTACCAGATACGAACCTACAAGGCCATGTCTATCTTGTTTACAATTTAAGCGGTTCTTTTAAGCGTATGAATAGCATCTGGTTTCGACAGAGTACCAACAGAAAAATTATAAATTTTGTTTCATTGCTTCAATGCGTGAAGGCCTATGCGGATAATTGCAATTGGGTAGTATTTTTCAGCTTTTGCGTGGTTAGTAAGTATTATTGGAGTGCGATAATTGTACAACACATGAAAGGAATTTTATGAACTCTTCAACATTTCTTGATACTACTTCAAATATTTCTGTAATTATTCTACCAATTGATGGCTTACTTATTCTGTAGAGATCTGCACATATCAACTGAAAAAATAAAATAAAAACACTTTTCATTATGATGTATTGTGATCATCATTGTAATATAACCTATAAAACCTGGTCCTCGTAGGATGACCTACAAAATACGCCCCAGTGGTCTGCAATTGCAATCAATACATTACGTAACAAATGGTGATGTTGCATAAACTGTGTCATTAGCATTTTTAGGGCGTGGTAATGGTTATCCTCTATTCCTCTAGTCCACATTGTGAGTGACGAACAGAGACACTAATGTTCACAACCGAATCCTTGTCAAAACGATCTCTTCTTAAATTCTTGTTGCCTATGCGTTTCCGAAGGATTTTCCATGTCAAATATCGTTTTGATATACGATCTTCCGTATTGATTTCAATAATTCCACGAACTCGTAAAAATCTTTGATGTTATTCCACGTTGAAAAATAAGGGTCACGTAAAGGTACAGATAAGCTCACTTATAAGAATAAGTGAATGCTTAAGCAAACACGTAAGTGAAGACAATGAATTGAAAATGCGAATAAGTAAACACTTAAATGTACCTCAAAAATAAGTGTCTACTATGAATACGCTCTTGAAATTATATTATTAAAAAAATAGTATAGTATAGTATTATATCTAGTACAAAAATATACAATATAACATGTTTATTATTTAATAATTATGATGCCCCCTCCAAAATGATCGGCTGGATCCGCCCCTGCACACACGTGCCTAATTAAAATAATATGAAATGCAACGTAAGAACTCATTTCATATAATCAAATAACATGCTGACTCTTGTAGTTGAAGTAATTTTTTTGTGTATTGAAAAATTGCGTGTTTTTTTTTTCTTTTCGAAAATCTATAGTTCGCTTAGTAATTGGTTACGTAAAAATGTTGCAGGAAATTTTATCCTCTTTAAAATTTATTTGAAACATTTTTCTACACGGCTTAGGCTAATGAGCTATTGAGAAAATTCAGAAAAAATGCCAGTTTTCATGTCTCCCGAGTTAGCACAGGGTCTGGGAGGTCGAAAACATGGGGTATAAACTAGTACCTGGGTACATACAACATGCACAAAGAACTTATTTAGGACCCTTTTCCAGGGAAAAATTTTACTGACTGGACTATTAGGAATTGTTATATAAATTGCTACTGCTATACTAATTCTAACACTTCCGTCACGATTTGGTTAAGTTCATTAACATTTTGAAACAAAATTGTTTCAATGACTGACTTAACATCCCACACAAATTTAAAAATTTTAGTACATATTTATCAAGAGCTAACAGGGAGTGTTAGACAAAGACTATACAATTTCCAATCCTCAGCCTAAGGTTTGTATATGAAATAAAACAATAAAATGACTAGGTTAATTTCAAAAGTTGCAGTTACATTCAATAAATGGTTATTTGTAAGAAGTCCTGTTAACTCAGAACACTCACATTAAGGAGCATCAAGGGCTGCAAATGACAAGAGAAAGAACGAACTACAACCTTAAATAAAAAAACTTAATTGGAAAAGTTGACCCATCTAGGCATGACCGGAAGAACCGCAAAATATCGTAGGTTCGAAAATGACGCAAATAAATAATATTTTGGATTCATCATGATCTAAATTTGTTTCAATATTTTTTCAAATAACTCAATTTAACGATTTTAATAAATTTTCTGGTATGGATGCATTAAATAATTCCAAGCTAAGATTGTAGACAGTAAGTTTCATCTAATATTATGCTAACACTATCTACCAACGTGAACAGAAAAATTGCACAACAAAAATGTTTCAAGGTCGTATATGACCGGGGAGGGGGAGGAGGTAAATTTTTAATCATCGCAAATTCTGAAATAAAAATGTTCACATCATAATCCTTTCAATAACCAAGGCTGAAATTTTGTAGGCAAGAGTATTTTAGTTTTTGAAAAATACTGACATATTTCTACAATCAATTTTGAAAGATTACCCATTTGTCTTCAATGACCTTGCAGTGACCTTGAAAAAATTCTGGTTGTGCAATTTTACGGTTTCTTGTCATCAGTGTATATTGATATATTGTATATCAGTCATATTAGATGGAACTTTATGAATAGTCTTAGCTTGGAATTTTTAAATGCAACAATACCAGAAAATTTATAATAATCACAAAAAAATTTGGATAAAAATATGGTTACAAAAATCCATTTTTTCTTGTTTTTATATCATGTTGAATCTGAAAATATAATTATTTGCACAATTTCCAAATATTTGATATTTTGTTGTCTATTTTGACAAAGAATGTCCCTTGTATTCTTGCATAAGAATACTTTTTGGAGACGTTACAAAAAATTACAGTATCATTCAATTTTTTTGATTTCTTCACAAGTGCAAATTTGTTATATTTATTCTTAAACAATTAAATTTCCAAAACAAACAATGTTCAAGTCTCAGTCTTCTAAGAGTGTACTGTTTCAACAAATCAGTGGGCTTTTAGAAAACTCCAATTATATGGACATGAAGTAAACAATTGTTTTTAAAATTCATAAAAAGGTGTTTAAACATCTTCAAATTAATAGACTATATAAAGAATTGTATGTAATTTTAATATTGTAAGTTCCACAAAAAAAAAAAAATTGAACAAACTCATAATAACTGATTAATTTTACCCGTTACCTCATTCTTGATTGCTAAAAAGAAATTTCCCACAGGGAACTCCCAAATCAAATTTATTTTCACTGTTGGCAAGAGCTGACAGTTTCCCTCCAAATTGTGTAAGTGTACACTTCCATTGCATGTGCTTTAAAGTTCTGTTGCAATGTTATTGAATGTTTGATAGTGAACTTGAGCTTGATTTTCATTTTCCATACCTTTTGCTAGTCTCTAGATATAATACATCCCTAGAACTTTACTAATATAGTGATAAATCTAGAAGTGTGCAAAATAAAGTGAGGTAAGGGAGAAAAAATTGGAAATTTTCAGCTAGGCAAACTGCTGCTATGGCAGTACATTGCTGAAAACAGTTAATACACATTAAAAAATTGCTATTAGAATGAAAATCTCAGAAAAATTCCAGCAGAATTAGAATATCAATGCACGAAAGTGGTGAATGCAAGTCAAAGAGCAGGAAAATGTGAAAGAAAGAGAATCAGACCTAGAACACTGAGTGATTACAACAGTAAATTGTAAACTTACAGCTAATGACTTAGTCATATGCTGAAAGGTTTTTGAGATGCAGTGAGGAGGAGGTTCTTTGAACCATGTGTAAAACATGCTGACCAAGGAAAAAATAGTCACTCCAGCAATGAAATATAAGCGACTACAATGGGTCAAACAAATTCTAAGTGGACAATGAAATGGGCAAAGGTATTACAATTCTATGAGAAAATTAAGGGGGAGCATTGCAAAATTAAGTGTTCTCCACATTGTGATGTTCTGTTAGCATTTAATAAATGCACATTTTAATTTTGGCGAAGTCGAGTTCTTCTATGCTAGCACAGAACATTTTGCAATAGTACTATTCACACCTTTGTTTAATTTGGAATTCTCTGCACATCATTCAGGTATACTGCCATGCTACAAAGCCAAAAAAGTTTAGCAGTTTTAAGTGTTACTCTGGCTAGGGAATAGCCCAGACATGAACGCCATTGAAAATTTATGGGATATTGTCCAGCCAAGATTAAGGAAATATACAATAATCACTAAACAAGAACCTGTAGGCAACCAGGAGGAAATGTCCATGGATGTAAAGTTGTAAAAGATGAAATTATTTTTGGAAAAAAAGAAAGTCAAAGTATAATAATTTAAATACGTCTGAACATATGAATTTCGTTTAACTCATATGCCTAAGAATATAACCTATTAAGTCACTTTTGTTAACCCTACAAAATGTATAGTCTAAGTGACAAAAAAAACAACTTTTCATCAATTGGTATACTTATTCTACTTTTTTAAATGTTTGCATTTTAAAATTTCTGAAACTCAAATGGAAACATTTTACATTTCTGACCAAATGCATTCATCCACAAAAGTCTTTATTAGGGTAAGGAGGGTATTTTTTTAAGTTAGAAGTAAAACGTGTGGAAAATTTCATTTAGGGGAACACAAATGAAACCAATTTTCATTTTTAAATGAGTTTCACACACTGCAGAAGTTCACAACTTTAAAATATTTTTTTCACGAAAAAATTGTGACCAACAAATCCAACGAACATAACACATAGTTAAATTGATTCTTCCTTAAATCATATCTAAATTATGCTCATTAAGAAATCGACTTATGCCTAATAAAATTTAATCCATATAGCAATAACCATGAAGAAAATTGACGATACCATATGCACATTATCTACTTCTTCCTTGGCAACAAGTCCAATGACCTAATACCCTTCCCTCTCAATTATACAAGCTCACGTTGCCAGCTTTCTTCCATTCTGACCTCTACGATCAAACACGTGGACACCACATGAGACGCTACAATGGCAATACAATTGAAATGATGAATCAAATTTTGTAAAATCTTAACAGCCAAATTCACTTTAACGAGATAAAGTAAATGAGCAAGCATAAACCAGTAGTAAACCTGTGAATATTACACTCACCCAGATTTCGATGCATTGGTAGCGGCAATTGAATGTAAACGTAATTTATTTGCGATATCCCGCAGCTCTTGAATTGTCCTAGCTTCTGGCTTGTGGTATGTTGCCATTTTGCCGGTAATTGACGAGACGAGAAATGTGTTTTCTGCTTGCCTGGACAACCAACACTCGCTCGCTCTAATTCAAACGCCACACTAATTCAAATGCGGTGCGAGTTACAACACAGCATGCCCTTCCACGATACCAGCACAACGGCAGACGCTAGCCGCCGGGCATTAAACGTGTTATGTCTCACGACTAGCCTCAGCCCGGCCACAGTGCTGCGCTCGAACGGGTGGCGATATTACTAAGCTACACTACGTGATTGTGTCATACTCTCTACCAATTAGGTGCGTTCAATATGCTGTGCGGTACTTTTGAATGTATCGTCCTTTTGGTGTTGATTTACAATTTATTTTAGGATTCTGTAGGAGATTTAGAGTATGCTTTCATGGTAGTGACCTAGTATGATAATGTAATACCAGAAAATGTGACAATCTTCATGCAATTAAATCAAGATAACATTATATTATTTACCTCTTAAATTATGATTGTAATACTTTTTTAATAAAGTTACCAAATTCCAAATTTAAGACAATCAGATTTGTTTTTCCATTTTTTCTTTCGAGAACATTAAATAAAAATTGTAAACACGATTTGTGATTTATTCCTACTTTACACAACGTTTCGGAGATCGAGTGTCTCTCCATCTTAGTTCTTATTATCTCTATACTTACACTATCTTCTGGTACAAATTGACAGCTAAAATACAAGATTAAAAAACATAAACAACTATTTGTTATTTACGTCGGTAAACACGCGTTTAGCTCCTTAGCAACCAACCATCTAATCAATGCTTTAAGAGTGCGTCCGTAGCAACGGCCTTTAAAATATTCGAGTCTATTAAAATATATTTCTGTATACCAGCATTATAAATGACTTTCCTTCGGCAAGAAATCGTTCATAAAAGGGCTTATTACCACACAAATAATGACGTATTAGCATTTACAGCACGAACACTTGTATCATCATACATTCAGCCAATCGCAGCGAGAGAATCTTGGGGAGGTAGCGGCAAATGGGACACCGTCTTCTCGCACATATCAACTAGCCGAGATGTCACGAGAATGTTGTTTCGCAAAATTAAATTTGATTCTCTTAAAAATGTATAATGCTGTTATACAACAAAAACTAGCGTATGCAACTCGTTTATAATGTTGCTTTATTGTATTCCTACAAATTTGAGAACTCGCTCCTAACGTCGCTTGTTTTCAAAACATCCACATACACATGCAATAAATTATAAACTAGTTGCATAAACTACTATTAGTGGACTCTCGGGTTTAGATCTTACCAGTGCTCATAAATATTTAGATAAATATGTCCCACTTGTACCCGTTGTCTTTTTTGTCCCATTTCGTCAATTTTGTCCATGTCTCATTAGTCCCACTTGTCCCGTTTGCTTCCTTGGCTTATTTTGCCCAGACGTTCATCTTGTCCCATTTTGTCCCCTTGTCGAGAGTGACCCATTTTACCCTTTTGTCCCCTTATTTCATTTGACCTCCTTGTCCCAGTTGTCCCACTCTCTCACTTTTTTCGCCTTATAACATATACCTGTGTCCCATTTTGTCATATTGTCCCGTTTTGACCCATTGTCCTATTTGTCCGCATTGTCTAATTGGCCCCCCTTTCTCCATTTTGTTCCTTTCTCTCAAATTTATCCCCATTGCCCATTATGTTCCCCTGTCCTCTTCGTCCTTTGCCCGTTTTGTCCCACTTGTCGCTCTTTGTTCATTCCGTACACTGCGATTGTTATTGAAAAACGGTACCAATACCCTGTACCAACAACCCTTGCTACAGGACATCGAAAGTAATGACAATTCTGAAGTCATGAAAGTGTTATATGTACGTATACGCTACTCGTATAACTACTATAATATGCTTAAGCTTAGTTATTTAATAGGAGTGGTACTGAGCACTAAAAAGTTTGTAGTATTTCCCACAAATTTACTCATTTATTTTAATGTACTCATGAAAGGCCTAGTTAAGATGTCAGAAATATTTAACTGCCATGTTAACAAGTATAAGCATTTGTTCATTCATTAAAGGAATAATCCCACGAGCTAGCCACAAGGTTGTCCCAACTTTGTACGTTACGATTTTAAAAGTGAAATTAATATATATATATATATATATATATATATATATATATATATATATATAAATCTGCTCCATTTTTTAATTGTTAGCTCAATGTGAGTGAAATACTCCTGCAAGTTTGATTTATGTTCGATTATTCGTAAATTTTATGGAATTCTCTGGAAGAGTTTATAGGTGAGCATAGCTTCTCCCGCCTGGCAAAATCCCACGAGCTAGCCACAAGGTTGTTCCAACTCGCAGGTACCTGTTTTCTGCCTTCGAAGTGCCGAGCCGAGCTGCTCAAGCTCAGGACATTAATCAGCATCAAGAATCACTCATTGAATTTCTGTCATTTCCATTGCATCAATTAATTATACGATCTGTAAACTAATCTTCAAGTTTTAGATTTAGTTCTTATTAGTATTCCCCGCTCGGGTCCGGCACGTATGTATGTTGTAGATTTAGATTTAATGCTTTTGGTTTTCATATCTTTTTTTAAATTGTAAGTTTTTATTTATTAATTCCAAGAGGCACTATTAATTAAATTAATATTTAAGCTATCCGCTTTGCCATTCATTTCGGCCGATCCTTCCTTTCCTCGCACGAGGTGGTCCTCTGGCCTTTTTATTTTAGTAGCCCTCTGGCTACACCGTTTGAGCTACCGGAGGCCGATATGTGTGTGCGCTGTGCGCGCCTATAGCCAACAGTGCGGTCCACGCTGTTGGCTTTTCATCGTGAGTGGCGCCGTGTGAGAGGTGGGTACCAGGTGAGTACCGCGTCTGCACGCGCTCGCACGACACGGACGCGCGGTGCGCAGACAACTGTGTTGGTTGCAGTTAGCACTTAACGAGTTGAATATGCTACATAGCATGATTTAGCAGTGCTGAAATGAACATGGTACATTGAATACAACAGAATCATGGTGATGCAGCGTAGTCTTGTAGACTGCACACGCGTTGTGATCCGCCTGGAGAGGGGATGAGAGCGACGGTTGGCAAGCACTGGTGGCAACTAGTGCTGAGCCTAGGAATGACGTGAATTATAACTGGCAATCGTAGAAAATTACTTTGAATGCCGCGGAAGCGGACATTGCTGCACAATAGGTAAGCAATTGTTACTGCTTATGAGACGATCACGTGCAGTACATGTTGAGAGAATAGTTTATGCTAGGAACATTTTGAGAAAGGCATAAAGTGACAATTTTCAACGGTGTTCAATCAAAAACAACAGGATGAAGGTGTAATTGAAATAAACGTTGCACTATTTAAGAAAGGTACTTATGTGTTTGTGTTTCAATGACTTGGGAGATAAATTTGGCATTTGAAATTCCCGCTAATATTATGACGCAAACTGATTCCCGAAGCTTATTAGCTGACGTCGGATGCGGAAGAACCCACCCATCTTTTTCCGCCACGGATATTCTGATTGAGTTTTGTACATAATAGATGTAACACCTATAAGGTTTCGAGGTCAAATGTCATGATTCAATTTGTGTTTAAATATCGACAAATACTTTTTTTCCAATCGTATTTTGGTGAGAATTACAAAATTTTAATCTAATAAAATTGGTTTTAATTGTTATTCAGTCCCGTTCACATTGTTTAAACAGCTGAAAAATATATGTTATAGAATGTTAAAAGACACATTTTTTAAGAAAAATTGGGACAGTACTCCAAGGTTATCGCGTCGAAAAATAATATCAACTTTTTTTTCTCTTTGAATTTAGAATCAAAATTGGCTGACAAAAATACCTTGAAATGCAATTATTTTTTCATAGTCTCTGCAATTCTTTCAGCATGATACACGCAATAAAAGCGGAGAAAAATAAAGATGAAAAACACGTTTCTCGTATCTCCGCAAACAAATGTCCCTAGGAGGCTGATTTTTTGGAAATTTACGGCATTTTTTATTATGATTCATATGAGCAGCGCGATTATCGACTTCATTTAGGGTCACTTTTCACCCCCTTATTTGGATATATCTTTTATGTCTTTATAATCTTTTCCACGCTAGCCAATAAAAATAATGATATAGATAACCCGACGATATAGAAAATACAAAAATGCGCATTAAATATTCAGTTCATATTCTCCGTGCAACAGATGGTTTTAGCGTCAAATTTGCAAAACAATTTGTTTATAAGATAATACACATAAACCAACACAAATCTACAAACAGAAGTTTGACTGCAGTATAATTAGAATAAAACGAAATGTTAGAAAGTTGAAAAATAGCGATATCTAACCACTAACCATTTCCACCGCAATATATGGAGAGGGCGAGGCCGCACCTCCGCTGCATTCCCCTGTAGATGTATATGGCGGAGAAATTCAGCGAGCCATTGCAAAACGTCTTGAAGGGTATATTTGTGGGGGAACTGCGAAAAGATTGATTCCCAAAAAGACCGGATGTCATGACATGCTCATTTCTTATAAACAGGTACATGTATAATAAACAAAAGGCGATTGCGCCGATCGGATTGCGGAATTTGGCATCTCGTTTAAAGGCGGTTAAGAAATTACAATTTTTTGTTCTTCAAAATTTGCAGTTTTATAAACAATTTCCAATGTTTTCAATTATGAAGTGGGAATGTATCCCTGATGTCCTAGAACCGAAAATGCGAATTAACAATTTTGCAAACAAGTCACAATTTCATAAACAATTCCGAAACGTGAGCTATGCGGTCTGAGAGGGTCCTCAAATTGTCTGTGAGGTGAATATTTCAAAATAACAATTTTGACTAGCGATGCAAAATTATTACTAAATACTTATCTAAATTATTATTGCTAAAATGTTAAATTTCGTAAACTCTGATTTTTGAACTACATTACTTTGCCAAGACTTCTCACTCCCAAATATTTTTCTGGTTCTGGAGTCGCCTTCACACTCTTCATTTCTTCGTCTCGTTTTCGTAATTTTCATTCTCGTACTTACTGTAAGTTGTTTTGCATTAAAAGAGGGGATGATATTCAATTGATTTTTGCAAGTAAATCTGGATTATGTGAAAAGTGTAATTAACTTTTTTCAAATCCACTAATGTTATTGCATATGCTGAACATTTTATGTCGAATAGTATCATACAGTAAAATCTAAGCCGGAATCGACCAGGACACAAAAATTTCCGGTTTACGGAGGTTTCCGTTATACGC